TTTCTCTTCTGGATAAGCCTGTGGACCCCACATTTCTCTGAATGGGCAAAGACAGCTCAAGGATTTCCATCTGACCTGGTGGAAGGTGGTCCCATCCAGACGGATCCCATTTCGAAACCACAGCAGCTCAGGGGTGGGGCGGGCATCTCCACGGCTCCGACAGGTCAGATTTGCAGGAACTCCAGCAACTAGAGACACAAAGGGGCCGCCCAGTACCTGGGGGGCTTCTGGAGGTACTGTGGGGAGGATTGGGGTCAGAGCTGGATCCTGGGCCCAGAGACCCCACTCTTCCCAGCTCTAACTACCCACCCCTGTGGGCTCCTTGGACTCTGACACTCAGCTAAGCACTGGCTATACCCCTGGGCTTCCCAGGTACAAGTGAGTTGAGTCCTCACCCAGCACATGCAGTTGGGCTGGTCGAGAGCGGAGGCCTGCTTGGGTGGCCTGACATTCATATGATGCTTGATCCTCTAGCTCCACGGGCCTAATGTAAAGGTCGTGCTGGCCACTGGCTGCATTCCCTGATATCCAGTAGCGGGACCACCCTGAAGTTAAGGAAGAGGCAGTCAAACCGTGATTCTGAGTTCCTGGTCCCAGCCTCCTTTCCCAGGCATCCCAGCACCAAAAGTGGGTGCCGAGCCAGAGAGACCCCAACCCTCTCCCATCTAGAGTCATGGCAAACTTGGGGGGGGGAAGTCAGAAGAAAGAAAACAATTGCCATAGAAATCAGATTAGTACTACCTCTGGGGTGAGGAGAAGGCTATGGTAGGAGAAGGGAATAAGAAAGTCTTCTGGGGAGCTGACAAGGGCCATGGGTAGTAGTTACATGAGTGTCTATAACCATTTGGCCAATCTTCCTTTTGTGTTTTCTATGCCTCTCTGCATTTATATAGCATTTCATAATACAAATAAGAATCTCCTACCCCCTAAGGAAGAAGCTAAAACTTCAGTTCTCCCAGATGTTTATCTGAGCCCATCAATTTCCCAAATTTGAAAACACTAAAATAGAAATTTCAGATACAGCCCAAGCCCAGCGCCCCCACCTGGAGCCAACCCCTCCTGAGCAGAGAGAACAGTCTCACCTGGCAGGTCCCTTTCACCCCCCAGAGCCAGCCCATCCTTAGTCCACTGAACCAGCCCCCAGTATTCGCCCAGGGCGCAGGGCAGCCGGGCCTCATCCCCCAGCAGTGCCACCAAGTCATCCGGTTGCTTCAGGAAATGGGGCGACAGGCCTAGGAGAATCGGGGGAAAGGGAGTAGGGTTGAGTTTAGATATGAACTGAGCTCCCTCAGTCGGTACCCAGGAGTCCAGGCTCCCAAAGTTCTCCTCAGGCAGACCTAGGAGTCTGAGCCCCCAGTTCCAACCACCCCAGTAAAGAGGCAGCTGGCAAACAATCCCCCCCCCCAATTCATCCGCCCCTGGAGGTACCTGCATGCCCCCCGAGGCAGAAGAGGAGGACAAGGAGGAGGGGGACCAGCATCCCCAGTGTGTGTCCCCCAAGATTCCGCAGACTTGCTGTTGCACGGGTTCCCTGCTAACTTCTTCCTCAGTAGCACACCTCTCACGACCCTGGACGGAGCTCCCTTTGCGCCCGACTTTTCGCCCCAGGCTAGAGGCCACCCCGTTTCTGGCCTGGGGTTCCCCCTGTCTGCGCAGCGGCAGGCTCTAACACTCTGAAACACAGGCGGGTTCCGCGCCCTCGGTCTCTGAGAGACCGGGGAGGGCCCCGTCCCACTCGCCCCGCCCCCTTGGCGACCCGCCCCTTCCCATTGAGAAACTCCCGCGGCAGAGACTTGGATGAATGGGGGCACGCTGGGCGGGGTCTCTCCGCGGGCGGGTGCCCCAGCCAAATTGGAGTCTGGGAGCCAGAACACCTGGGTCGAAGGATGGCGTCCCGGCTGGGTTGGACACCTGCACCCTGGCAGGCTTGTGGGGGACATGGCGGGGCGGGGGGAGAGTGGAAGAAACTTGCTCAGCCCAGGTCCCTGGAGGGACCGCGCTGAGTGGAAACGAAGCTATAAATGGGAGCCCCTGGGGCTTCCCTAGTTTCCGTGCCCTGGGGAGGCGGGGCCCAGCACCCCCCCCCCCCGTCCCGGGCCTGCGGGTCAGGAAGAGGACACCCGAGTGCCTGGGGGCAACCGGGACCTCTGAGAAGAGGAAGGTGTCCAGCTCTTCTCGTTTCAAAACCCCTCTTCAAAATATCCCTCCGCCTGCCTTGTTACCGCTGCAACCCATAGCACGTCCAAGGATCCAGGAATCCAGGCCCCCAGCCCCTCCCTTCCCGAGACCCCGTAGTCCAGGCTCAGCCCCTCGTCCCACTCCGCTGTGGTTGCTGGGCGACGGCTGCGAGGCGGCGGTGCCCGAGCTGGGGCAGGCGGGGAGGCTGGGAACCGCGCAGCTTGTCCTGACGGCCGCCAGCCGCCCAGCTGGGGCGTTCCCACGCTGCAGGCCGGCCGGTGCGCGGCGCAGCTGGCCGGGCAGGTGGGCGGGACCCTTAGCCGATTGAGTGGGGCCTGGGGGCCTGCGACCCTGGGTGTGGCATTCCTGAGCCTGTAGTAACGGGGGGAGGGGGGCGGGGGGGGGCTACACTCAGGTTCTCTCTTGTTCCTGAGCTCAGACTTGGGCGTCCTCGCATGGCAGGGGGTTGGACTCCAGAATTCTAAGACTGGGCGATCAGACTTCTTTTGACCGACAAGTTAATGGCCTGAACTGCCAGTTTCTGAGGAGCTGGGGACTCAACTAGATCCCCTGCTTGCAGCATGGTGCAGTTGGAAGAGGATGACAGGGGGGTCAGAAAATCTGGTCTTAAGTCTTAGAGTCAGTGGATTAACCACCAATCTCTCCCACCCCCACGCAGGCCCAGGAGGATTTGAAAATCACAGACGGTGAACATCTGCCCTAAGTCCTGTGTGTGTGTTGAGGGGGGAGGGATGGAGGCCTGAACTCCTGGGTCCTTGGGGAGAAGAAGCTGAAGGCCTGGACTCCTGAGTCTGAGAGACTTCTAGGTCCAGGGGCCTGAACTGGCTTCCTTTTGGGGACTCCAGTGCCTGGATTTTGACATAAGATGAGCTTGGAGCCAGGACTGCTGAGTCCTGGGGAGGAAGTCAGGTAGTGAGGCTGTTTTTCCAGACACCTGACATCGCTTCCCCTTCCTGGCTCCCTTGGGCCACAGGCATGGAAAGATGGAGAGCCTGAGGTCCCAGGAGCATCCAGAGAAGGAAAACAGCCAAGGTGGAGGATGGAAGGTTTACGCTAATTAAAGGTCCCAGCAACTGACAGCTTTACGCCCTGGCCCTGAGGGACACCATCTGGTGAGAGGCCCGTAAGACCGAACCTCCAGCTCTGCATCCAGTCAGTGCCCCAGGAGGCGTGGGGGGCAGTTGGGAAAGGGAATGTGGGGGAGGGCAAGGGGTCAGTAATGGGAGGGAAGAAGAAAGACTAGAGGGAACATCAAGTATGGAGCTGTGGGGGCTCAGGCCAGATGCCTCATCTTATTCCTGGAAGACCAGAGAAGGGAGTCGCAGGGGTGGGGGTGGGGGGAGAAAAGGAGCCGTTCCAATTCCTGCAGGAGATAAGCAGACAGAAGAAGCTTATCCCGTGTGTGTGTGTGTGTGTGTGTGTGTGTGTGCGCGCGTGCGTGCGCGCTCACGCGCGTACACCAAACAGCATATGGTTATAAAATTCAAAGATGTGACAAACAGGAGGACTCAGAGATGGAGAAACAAAAGAAAGAGGTATAATCAAATGTTGACTGAGAACAAATATTTATTGAGCTTCTGGTGCATGTGAGAGACAGCACATGGGGACTGAGGGATAAAGATGAGAACAAAGAAAGACGGAAAAACACACATGTAGAAGCATAAAGAGAGACAGTGACAGAGGTAAAGGTTGATTGAGATGTAAGCACCTTATGAGAGGGAGGGAGGGAGGAAGGGAGGGGGGAGAGAAGTGGGGGAGGAGGGGGAGGGGGAAAGAGAGAAGCTGGGGGGAGACAGAGGGAAGCTTCATGAACTAGAACTCCCACAGCCAAAGGGTTCCCAAGCTGGGCCTTGCTCCTCTACCCACTCAGTGCAGGTAGTCTTGAGCCCTGCCTTTCACTCCCTCCCACCCTGACTGCCTTGCACACTTATACCTCATGTACTCTTGCGTATACTTTCACAGATCACAGTTCACTCTCACTTCCCCATGCTCACATGCATGCTCACACACTCACACACACATGCACACACAGATGTCTGCACTCCTGCAGTCTCTCAAACACACCCTTGCACACTCTCCAGCAGAGATCCCTGATGGCGGCAAGGGTGGGGGTGGGGGTCCACTCAGGGAAGAAAGAGGCTTGCCAAGGTCATGTACCAGGGGAGGGGAGAGCTGTGGAGTCCTAACTCCACGCTGGGCCCAGCTCTCCACCTGGGTCTGATCTGCTCCCCCTTATCCTTGGCCGAAGTCAGGCTCTTGGGGTCCTGAGGGCTGGGGAGGCACCAGGAATGTTCCTGGCATGTGCTGACAGGGGATTTCACGCTCTGGCTGGGCCGGGAGGAGCCTGCTGGGCAGAGCCCTGGAACTGGAGGCTCTCGGGAGGGCGTCTGGGGGAGGCAGCAGTGTGAAGATGACAGTGGCTGGGTCTGTCACTGAGGGTCTCTGCCACTGACCACAGCAGCCTCATCGCTCTCCTGGGCTCCTGGGGCCTGCCGGACTCTGAAGAGCCGTCCTCCCTGAGGGGCTGAGTGGTGAGAGGAGAGTAGGGGAGGGGGTAGCAGGAGAGAGGAAGAGAGAGACTGAAGAGGAGGAAAAGAGAGAGAGAGAGAGAGAGAGAGAGAGAGAGACTGATGGACTGACTCCTGAGAAGAAAGGAAACCAGAGAAAGAAAAGGAGACAAATGGACAAAAAGAGACAATAAGCAAAGCAAGAGACATAGAGAGAGGGACCCAGAGAAAGACAGAAACAGAGGCAGGAGGCAGGCAGTGGACACCGCGGGAACCACAGGCAGAAGACCTGGGATGGCCCTGAGGACACGCACCAGGGCTCCCCTGCTCCTTCTGGGCCTGCTGACCACAGGTGAGTGGGATCCTGGTCTTGCGACCCAGCGCCAAGTGGCCCTCATTTGCCACTCATGTTCTCCAGACAGACCCCCTCCCTCTCCTGCTGACAGTCCTGTGTCCCCAGGCCTGGCCCAGTTGCCGCTCCCTGCCTCAGCCCCCCGAGGCTTCTGGGCTCTGCCTGAAAACTTGACGGTGGTGGAGGGGGCCGCTGCTGAGCTGCGGTGTGGGGTCAGCGCCCCTGGCAGTGCGGTGCAATGGGCCAAAGACGGGCTACTCCTAGGTCCTGATCCTAGGATCCCCAGCTTTCCGAGGTACCGTCTGGAAGGGGACCCTGACAGAGGTAAGGGATCAGGGCCTAAGACCCTGAGCCACCAGCAGGGGCTGACTGTGGCCCTGACCTGGGACCCCTGGTCTTACCTGCAGGTGAATTCCACCTGCATATTGAAGCGTGTGACCTCAGCGACGATGCAGAGTATGAATGTCAGGTCGGCCGCTCAGAGACAGGCCCTGAGCTCGTGTCTCCCAGAGTGATCCTCACCATCCTGGGTATGGGTGAGAGACCCCCCAGGACCCTTGAGTCCATATTTCCAGCCATCTCCTACCCCAGGGTCCAGGGTTTCAAGGCCCCAGGCCCCAGGCCCCAGTCCCAGACCCAGGGCGCTGAGCTCATCTCATGAACAAGGAGACTGAAAACCCCGGATCCTCATATCTTTCTCAGTGGTGGCAGCTCACCTCAGACCCTTTCTCACCAGTGCCCCCCAAGATGCTTCAGCTGACCCCTGAGGCAGGAAGCACAGTCACGTGGGTAGCTGGGCAGGAGTACGTGGTCAGCTGTGTGTCTGGGGATGCAAAGCCAGCACCTGACATCACCTTCCTCCAGAGTGAGTGTGGGAACAGCCCCTGGAGTGGGAGGGGGTATGTCCCTGCCCAGTGCCCTACAGGGGGTCCCAGAAAATAGGACCTTCCTGAGTGATGGGGATGCAGGAGCAGGCTTGGAGAGATGGTGAGGTCAGCGTGAGACCGAGTGGATGGGAGGGAACATCCAGGGAAAGGCACCAAGTGATTGCAAGACTGCAGGTCTGGGACTCAGAGAAGAGGCTGAGGCTCCAGACAGAGACATGCATGTCATCATTGGTGCAGAAGCAAGAAGCTGGGTGATGGGGGTGAGTGACACAGCCCAGCAAGGTGGTGAGGGCAGGAGAGAGGCCCAGGACGTGGCCCCAAGGACCCCAGGAGGCCTGAATGTGTGGAGGAACGGAGCTGGTGCTTTTCCTCTGGAGCTAGGAGGGAGGGGGCGATATGTGCACCCTAGGATTTCCAGGCCATTCTCCCCAGGATCTACCTTGGGGGGAACCTGGCATCCCTCTAGCCCTCTCGTTGCCCCAAGGTGGACAAACAATTTCTGACATCTCTGCTAATGTGAATGTGGGGTCCCAGGAGAAACTCTTCACCACAGAGGCCACAGCCAGGTATGAGAGTTGGGATGCCTTCCCTCAGCCTGACCCTCAAATTTCTCTATGAAAACCCCACATCCCAGGGATTCATGCACATAGACTAGAGTTAGGTATGAACATCTGGAACCTAATTCTTTACTCTGACACTTCAAAACCTCTTCATGGGAATGCTAGTTCCAGAGCATCAAGTACAAGGACTTTGGTGCGGGCCTCTGGGATCCCAATTTTCACTGCTGACCCCCCCAGATGTCTTCCATGGAACTCTAGGTCCTGGAGAAAATTGGCGGAAAAACTTAGACCAGTTGTGGGAACCTGGGATCCCCATCTCTTCACCCTGACTCCCCAAATTTCAGGTGATGACTCTGACTCCAGAACCCCAACTTCTCACCCCAGGGTGACACCCCAGAGCTCAGATAATGGGCAGCTGCTGATCTGTGAGGGGTCCAGCCCAGCATTGGACACCCCTATCCGGGTCTCAGTCACCATGAATGTTCTGTGTAAGTGGGGAACTGAGTCGGCTGTGGACACTAGGGGTGAGAAGCAGGAATTGGGGGTCCTGGGGGAGTTCAGGGATTGTGGAAGGTCCAGACTCTCAAGGAGAAACATGAGGGTTCAAGAGGTAGGTTGTGGGGCCTAGAAAGGATGGATGGGCTCTGCAGGCCCATAAGTGCTGCTTTCCAGTTCCCCCAGGACCTCCTGTCATTGAATGGCCAGGCCTGGACGAGGGGCATGTGCGGGCAGGACAGAACTTGGAGCTGCTGTGTGTGGCCCGAGGGGGGAATCCGCCAGCCACACTGCAGTGGCTGAAGGTGAGGGCAAAGGCATGCATTAATGTGGGAGGGTAGGGGGAGGAGCTGGCCCTGAGCTGGCCCAGGTCTGTCTCTGTCTCCAGAATGGCCAGCCCATGTCCACAGCATGGGGCACAGAGCATGCTGAGGCAGTGGCCCGAAGCATGCTAGTGATGATCGTGAGACCGGAAGACCATGGGGCGAGGCTCAGCTGTGAGGCCCACAACAGTGTATCTACAGGAATCCAGGAACGCGGGGTCACACTGCAAGTCACCTGTGAGTCCTGATGCCAGCCGCCCATCTGTCAGTCCATGCCCCAGAGAACCATCTGTTTGTGCCCCCCAAATCATGCATGACTGATGCCAAAGATCATGTCATCTGTCCCCAGTCCCTTATCTGGCCTAGTCTGTGAGGCATTCAGCCCAGTTTAGTGTCTCTCCTCTGTCCATTGTCTCTGCAGTCCCCCCCAGTGCCATTACCATCCTGGGGTCTGCATCCCAGTCTGAGAACAAGAACGTTACGCTCTCCTGCATCACCAAGTCCAGTCGCCCACGGGTCCTGTTGCGGTGGTGGCTGGGTTGGCGGCAGCTGCTGCCCACAGAAGACATGGTCATGGATGTGAGGCAGTGCCCAGGCTTCTGGGTCTGAGGGAGGAGGGAGCCGAGGGCATGACTCCTGGATCTGGGCGAGGATGGGTCTGCCAGCCTGGATGCCTTGGTCCTTGCAGAGTATGGACTGGAGTCCTGGCCTCCGGGGTCTCACAGAGGAGGGGGTGGAGATGCTTAATGTGTCCCTGCTAGGGTCTGAGGTGAGCCCAGCCCTCAGGTACCATGGATGGGAGTGATCTCATTCCTAGGTCTGAAGCTCTCTCCTTGCCAGGGCCTGCATGGTGGCCACATCTCCATGTCCAACTTGACATTCCTCGTGCGACGGGAAGACAATGGTCTGACCCTCACGTGTGAAGCCTTCAGTGAGGCCTTCACCAAGGAGACCTTCAAGAAGTCACTTACCCTGAATGTGAAATGTGAGCCCTCACTCTTGGCCAGGGGTGCCCTCTCCCTTAGAGACCCCTCCCTCGGATCTAGCCCAGAGAGAAAAGCCACTCTTCCTGGCTCTCCCCACAGACCCTGCCCAGAAGTTGTGGATAGAGGGCCCCCCAGAGGGACAGCGACTCCGGGCTGGGACTCGAGTGAGGCTGGTGTGTTTGGCCATTGGAGGCAACCCAGACCCATCTCTTACCTGGTTCAAGGTTGGTGCCAAGTGAAGGGTGTAGGGTTGCCAGAAAAGTAGGGGCAAAGATGAAGCCCTTTCTTTCCTCCAGATTCTTGGGAAATCTTGGGAAAACTTGAATTTCTTGAAAAATCCTGGAAAGTTTGAGTTTTGGTAGGGAATTGGAAAAGACACAAACGCCATTAGAATTAAGTGGACTCCTAGGAAAAATCTTGGAATTCTGGGGAAACAGTGAGAATTCTGGGGGAAAAGAAGGAATTCTAGATCAGGATAGGGAACTCTAGAGAAAAATCAATTAATTTCATCAAAAGTAAAGGAAATCCTGGGGCGCCTGGGTGGCTCAGTTGGTTAAAGCATCTGACTTTGGCTAAGCATCTGACTTCGGCTCAGGTCATGATCTCACCATTCGTGGGTTTGAGCCCCACGTTGGGCTCTGTGCTGACAGCTAGCTTGGAGCCTGGAGCCTGTTTCGGATTCTTTGTCTCCCTCTCTCTCTGATTCTCCCCTGCTCATGCTGCCTCTCTCTCTCTCTCTCTCAGAAATAAATAAAACATTAAAAAAATTTTTTTAAAAAGTAAAGGAAATCCTGGTGAAATTTTGGGGATTCAGATGCGATGGCAGGAATTTTAGAGAAAGACTAGGAATTCCAGGAACAGAGACAATGATAAGTAAAGGCTGGAAATTTTGGAGAGACACTAGTTATTCCACAGAACATTTGAAAAATCTATTAATATTAATTAATTTGTGGACTTGGGGTAAGAAAGTGAAATTCCATTAAAATTAAGAGAAATTCTGACAGAATTTTAAGAAAACCCTGGGAAATTAGGGGGTTAGTGGAAATTCTGGGGGAAAGACTAGGAATTATAGGAATGAAATTTAATTGGATGGAATTCTGGGAAAATGCCAAGGACTTGGGCATTACAAAGGTAAAAGACTAAAAAGTAAAAGGCTAGGGTAATCAAAGAATATTGGGGAAGGATTCAGAAATCTGTGGAAAGACTATGGAATTAAGAGAACAATCAAAGGAAATCTTTGGGGAAAGTGGGAATGTAAAGGAAAAGAACTAAGGATAGTAAAAAAGGAAGAAATTCTGGTAAAGGCTTGGGGATTCCATGGGAATTTCCTGGCAGGTGGTGTTTGCTAAGTGTAGCTGGAAGGGATGTTGAGGAGTGGCGATGAGGGTCGGCAGGGAGCGCTAACCTCCGGAAAGCAGAGGAGTCGGGGCGGGGAACGGGACGTGGGATTGGAAGCCAGATCCCACCGCAACACCGTGGAGCACTGGGGGTGCAGGGCAGGTGGGAGAGACTCCAGGTAGGTGCTCGGTTCCAGTCCCCATTCCTCTACCTCAGCTGGGTGCCAGCGGAAGGGGGCGCCTTTTCTTCATCACAGGAAGGCTTTATCTGGGCTGGCGGCAGCCAACCCAATGGGGCTCTTTCTGGGGGGAATGGCAGGCCTACGCGGTCCCCCAGTCAGTCTTTGCCCTCAGGACTCCCGTGCGGTGACCGAACCGCGGCCGCCCCAGGAGCCGCGGCGGGTGCAGCTGGGAAGTCTGGAGAAGTCTGGGAGCACCTTCTCCCGCGAGCTTGTACTGATCACGGGTCCGTCGGACAACCAAGCCAAGTTCACGTGCAAGGCGGGTCAGCTCAGCGCATCCACGCAGCTTGTGGTGCAGTGTGAGCGCGCGCGCAGGGCTGTGGCCTGGGGGAGGGTTTGGTCGCCGCGGGGAACTAAGCCAGAGCCCAGCGTGGGGGACAGTGGATGCCAAGAGCCAGGACGCGTGCAGCCGGGCCCAGGTGAGGCGGAAGCAGGCTCTGAGCCTTGCTTTTCCGACTCATTCTTGAAGTTCCCCCAACAAACGTGACGATCCTGGCCAACGCGTCGGCGCTGCGCCCGGGGGATGCCTTAAACTTGACTTGCGTCAGCGTTAGCAGTAACCCGCCTGTCAACTTGTCATGGGACAAGGAGGGGGAGAGGTGAGAGTGCGAATGACCCTGTCACTCTCTGGTTCTGGTCATGCCTTTTTACCGTCTGAGCTCCCCTCCCCCACCCCTGGTGTCCTGCCCGGTACCTAGTATGCCTCTGGCTCTGGCTGGCTCTGACCTGACCCCACCACCCCTGTCTGGTCCACAGGCTGGAAAGTGTGGCCATACCACCCCGAAGTGCCCCATTCAAAGGATCTGCAGCAGCCAGGAGTGTCCTTCTGAGAATGTCATCCCGTGACCACGGCCATCGAGTGACCTGTCGAGCCCACAGCATTGAGCTACAGGAAACCATGAGTGCCTTCTACCGCCTCAATGTTCTGTGTATGTGGAACCCCTCTTGATTCCCTCCTGACCCTATACTACTTGAGTCTTCACCTTGACACTGTCCTTTATCTCCAATCCAAAGCTTGAAACTTTCTGGACCTTTATCTTGACCCCTGGCTTTACACCAACTGCTACCTTGCCCAACCTCCATTTTGCCTTTGTCCTCTATCCTTTAAAAAAAATTTTTTTTAAATGTTTTATTTATTTCTGAGAGAGAGAGAAACAGCGTGAGCAAGGGAGGGTCAGAGAGAGAGGGAGATACAGAATCTGAAGCAGGCTCCAGGCTCTGAGCTGTCAGCACAAAGCCCAAAGTGGGGCTCGAACCCACAAACTGTGAGATCATGACCTGAGCCAAAGTCTGATGCTTAACCCTGAGCCACCCAGGCGCCCCTGTCCTCTATCCTAACTCCTGACTGTGTCCTCCATCCCAAACTCTCTCTCCATTTTTAAACCTGACTCTAGCCTTTATCCTTTTCCTAAACTGGATTCTAACCTCTATCCTGAACCTAACCTCTGAGCTCAGCTCTGCACTTGTTACCTTGTTCACAACCTTAAATCTAGTTATGACCTAACTTTAACCCTTATACTGGTACTTGACCTCAAATCCATTTCAGACCCCAACCTTAACAACAATCTTGACTCCTGGTTGTGCTCTTTCCACAGACCCTCCAGAGTTCCTGGGGGAGCAGGTGCTTGTGGTGACTGCCGTGGAGCAGGGCGAGGCACTGCTGCCGGTGTCTGTGTCTGCCAACCCTGCCCCAGAGGCCTTCAACTGGACCTTCCGGGGCTACCGCCTCAGCCCAGGTGCGTGGAGTGGGCATAGAGAAGGGTGCAGGTCTCCAGGACATAGAGAAGGGTGCAGGCCCCTCACCCTGACCTCCCCCAGCTGGTGGCCCTCGGCATCGCATCCTGTCTGGTGGAGCTCTGCAGCTATGGAATGTGACCCGTGCTGACGATGGCCTCTATCAGCTGCATTGCCAGAACTCAGAGGGCACCGCTGAAGCGCTAGTGCGGCTGGATGTACACTGTAAGCCCCCTTCATCAAGCTAGGAAACTAGAGGGTTCTGGAGGCCCTGCCATCCATGGTAACCACACCAACTCAGGGAACCTCGCCCCGTGTGGAGTCTCCTTATTGTGCAAGCTCCACCCACCCAGAGATATTCACCCATCCTGAAAACTTTTCACTCTGGGAGCCTCTACTGTGATGGAGTCACTCCCACCTTGGGAACCCTGCCCACTAGGGAAACTCTATGTGGAATTTGCTCAGACAGGGGGCCCACCTTCCTACTCTCATCAGAAAGCCAAGGAAGCTCCACTTCCAAACAATCCTGAAAGTCCACTAGACCTACTTCTTGTCACCACAGAGACACAGTAGAGGAATGCCTCAATAACCCTGAGAACTTTACTTCAAGTGCTCCCCATAGAGGGCAGGCTGTATTGTACCTGTAACTTTCCTGAACACCTCTAAGACACCTCTCCTTTCTGGGGCCTTCTCTCACCACCAACTGTATGGGCCCAAGTGCCTTCCCCAAACCCTTGCCTCCCCCAGATGCTCCCATTATACGAGTTCTCCAGGACCCTACTGAGGTGAATATTGGGGGTTCTGTGGACATAGTCTGCACCGTTGATGCCAATCCCATCCTTCCAGGGATGTTCAGCTGGGAGAGGCTGGTAAGGATCCAACCTTTGGTAAATGGGGTTGGAGGTGGGGGCTGAGGGATGTGGCTTCTTGACTATGAATTCCTTGGGAGGAGGGATCACATCTACATGATCCTCTATAATTACATATTTGTTGGGACATACTCCAATGAACTGGATAACTGGCAGATGAATGACAGATGGATGGGAACATTCGTGGATAGATAACCAAATGAGTGGGTGGGCAGGTGGATGGATATATGGATCAATAGGTAGGTGGATGGATGGATGAATGAATGAATGGAAGAACATATGGACAAATAGACAAGTGAGTGAATAGATTAATGATGAATAGATAAGCAGGTAAATGATTGAAGGAGAGAAATAGATAAATGGATTATATTAGAGAGTAGATGGATGGACAAATACACTATCAGTAGAAAGATGTCTGTGAAAAGATTATGGGTGGATGGATGGATGGTCGCAGAGGTCATTGGAGAGATGAATAAATAGGTAGCTGGATGGACTGATGAACAGTTGTATGTATTTATGGATGTGTGCATGTATGAGCAAATAGATAGGGTGGATGGGTAGAGGGATGGAAGGGTGGATAGTGGATGGATGGAAGATAAATAGTTGGATGAATGAATGAGTAGAAGAAGAGGTAGATAGATGGGTAGATAAATGAATAAATTGATACATTTATCGAGGTAGATGGTCAAATAGTTAGGTGGATGGGTAGATAGATGGTTCCAAGCACGAATGGTTGGATAAATGGATGGGTGAATAGTTGTCTGGATTGGTGGATGAATGGATGGACCCATGTACGAATGATTGGATAAATGGATAGATAGATGGATGACTGGGGCAATGGACAGGGAATTTTTTCTTTGCTAGATCTGTGGAGGATGATTGCATCTAGGAGAGACCCAGTTTGGAGGTTAACAGAGCTGGGGCCAGACTTGGGGGCCATCTCCTATATCTTGTGCCTCAAGGGAGAAGAAGAGGAGGACCAGAGCCTGGATGACATGGAGAAGATGTCAAAGGGATCCACAGGGCGACTTCGAATTCACCATGCCAAACTGGCCCAGGCTGGTGCTTACCAGTGCATTGTGGACAATGGAGTAGCACCTCCAGCCCGAGGGCTGGTCCGACTTGTTGTCAGATGTGAGTAACACGCAAAATCCTGACTTCAAGGCCTGCCACTAAGCCCACATTTCTTATGTCCTTCCACATACCCATTGACCGTCGACCCCCTACTAGTTGCTCCTCAGGTGGAACACCCAACACCCCTAACTAAGGTAGCAGCAGCTGGAGACAGCACCAGTTCTGCCACCCTCCACTGTCGTGCCCGGGGCGTCCCCAACATTGTCTTCACTTGGACTAAAAATGGAGTCGCTCTGGATCTCCAGGATCCCAGGTGAGTCAAGGCCTAGCCAGGTCACACCTTAGTCCCAACTTTGGTCTCCCAACCCCAGTTACCTTCCCTGAGTCCCTGCCACACCTCCTCTCCAGATACACAGAACACACATACCACCAGGGTGTGGTCCACAGCAGTCTCCTGACCATTGCCAACGTGTCTGCGGCCCAGGATTATGCCCTGTTCACGTGCACAGCCACCAACCCCCTTGGCTCAGACCACACCAACATTCAACTCGTCAGCATCAGTATGGCGGGAGTGGGGTGTGAGGGCGTTGGGAGGGTGCTCCCTGGGTCAATCCCCAAGTCTCTGGTTGGCCCAGAATAGTGGTGTTCCCCAATCTGAGAGGTGTTTATGAGTGAGGATGGAGTTTCTGCCTGCCCTGAAAATCCTGATAGAGACTGGATCTTTAGGGAAACTCACAGGAAAAAAAAAAAAAAGGCTGCAGGTGGATGAGCAATAACTTACTGGCCCAAGTAACTGAAAAGTAAATCATTCAGAGTTGCTAGATCTAGGCTCAACTGTCATCAAGAACTCTCTGTCTCTCAGATCTGCTTTTCTATGTTGGCTTTATTCTAAGACTCCTCATGGAGGGCTGTTAGACTTCCCAGAGGACATAGAATTTTTTTCTTTTCCTAACAGTGGTATGAAAGTACTAGAATTAAGACTCATTGGCTCTACTCAGATCCCATCCCACCCTTGAATCAACCCTGTGGTCAGGGAAGGCGACATTCTGGTTCATCTGGCCCGGTCACAAATCTATCCTACAAGGGAGTGGAGTCACTTTCATCAGAAGCATGTGGCCTGAGAACGTGGACTAGTGGTTTTTCCAAAGGATACTCAGAGTTCTGTAACCAGAAGAAATGAGGAATGGATGTGAAATAAGGACCAAAACATCCACACAGGAACATATGTCATGAACAGCCAATCCCCATTACTTGTCGAGTATTTGCAACAAGTATTTGCGAATTTGCCTACTTGCTAAGATTGATTTGTAACCTCAAAATCAACACTTGTGCTGCTTTCTTGGGACATCTCCAGAGCAGGCAAAAAAACTCGAGTTGCCCAGTGGGGACATTCTCAGCTGGGGGAGAAGGTGACACTCTGCCTCCTTGTTCCAGCTTTCATCCTATAACAAAGTGTCTTCTTTGCAGCCCTATCTAGTGCCACATTTTTTTTGCATTTTTATGCTTTTTGTTAGTGACCTTGCTTTTTAAAATGGCCCCTAGGCCCTGTCCTGAATTGCTGTCTACTGTTCCTAAACATATGGAGAAGACACGTCTGTTGGATAGGCTTCGTTCAAACATGAACTGTAACATTGTTGGCCGTGAGTTCAATGTTAATGAGTCAATCAATAAGATATATTAAATAAGGTGTCTTTAGACAGAAGTGCACACAAAACAAGATCATGCACTGATTGGTTGATGAAAATGTGATTGCAGGCTCACAGGAATCTGACTCTGCATTTCCCTCAGAAGCAATGATTTGCTATTCTGTAACTCAGTGTTCATAGCAACCTTATATATATATAGCAACATAACCACTGCTAATAACAAGAATCAACTGTATATTTAAAATCATTCTTAGAAAAATCTGGAAGGAATCTTGCAGAACACTTTTGTATCCTTTGACTACTTCCCTCATCCTTTTCCTCAAAGGCCGCCCAGATCCCCCAACAGGATTAAAGGTCATGAGCATGACCCCATACTCGGTGGGGTTGGAATGGAAGCCTGGCTTTGATGGGGGTTTGCCACAGAGGTTCCAAATCAGGTGGGTCCCTGTCAAGGCAAGAAGGGATGGCAGCCAGCAGGGCTGAGACACCCTCTGAATGACTGCCCTTCCTCTCATGCAGGTATGAGGCTCTGGGGACCCCAGGGTTCCTCTACATGGATGTCCTACCACCTCAGGCCACCACCTTCACACTGACTGGGCTGCAGCCTTCTACACGATACAGGGTCTGGCTGCTGGCCAGCAACGCCCTGGGGGACAGCGGACTAATGGACAAGGGGTCCCAGATCTCTGTCGCCACCCCAGGTGGGAAAGAACAGTCTTGAGCATGTTTCAGACCTCCTCGGGGGACTTGTAGGACAGTATAGTGAAGTAGATACTTCCCTTTTTATAGATGCAGAAACTGAGGACCAGAGAGGTTAAGCAAACTGTTGAAGCTCACACAGCTAGAAGGAAGTAGAAATGAGATTGGAACTCAGGCAGATGAACTCCAGGAACTGGTTTTTAGCCCTAAACTATACTGTCTGAATGTGATTAATGACACAAGGGAAATTAGAAGAAAGTTTGAATTGAATGAAAATGGAAACACGGAAAATTGTGGAGTGCAGCTAAAGCAGTGCTTAGCAGGAAATTTATAACATTAAGTGCTCATTTAGTTTTTTAAAAAGGCTTCAAATTGATGCTTAGTTTCTATGTTAAGAAATTAGAAAAAGAAGGGCAAATTAAACCTAAAGTAAACTGAAGGAAGGAAATAATAGAGGAAAGAGCAAAAATTGATGGACTAGAGGGGCGCCTGGGTGGCTCAGTTGGTTAAACGTCTGACTTCGGCTCAGGTCATGATCTCACGGCTTGTGGGTTCGAGCCCCACATCGGGTTCTGTGCTGACAGCTAGCTCAGAACCTGGAGCCTGCTTCAGATTCTGTATCTCCCTCTCTCTGACCCTCCCCTGCTCGTGCTGTCTCTCTATCAAAAATAAATAAAAAATGTTAAAAAAAAATTGATGGACTAGAAAACAAAAACAATAGAGAAAAATCAATGAAGCCAAAAGCTGCTGCTTTGAAAAGATCAATAACCTTTATAAAACTAATCAAGAAAGAGGCGCCTGGGTGGCTCAGTCTTGGTTTCAGCTCAGGTCATGATATCACGGTTTGTGAGTTCAAACCCCGCATTGGTTTCTGTGGTGACAGTGCCGAGCTTGCTTGGAATTCTGTGTCTCCCTCTCTCTCCGCCCACTTCCACTCATGTTGTCTGTCTCTCTCAAAAATAAATAAACTTAACCCCCCCCCAAATAATAAAGCATAAAAGAGGGAAGACAAAACCTCACCGTTATCAGGAATGAAAGGGGACGTTACTACTACTCTACAGAGATTAAGGACAAGTTAGGGAATATTACGGACAACTTTATGCCAATAAATTCAGTAACTTTGATGGAAGGGACAAATTCCCTGCTGTGACCAATGAGAAGAACAATTTGACTCTGGCAGGCACTGTAGTATAGCGGTTAATCACACAGAGCCTGGTTCAGACAAGCTGATTCAGGTCTCAGCTCTGCCACTTCCTAGTTGTGAGATCTTGGGCAAATTACTTTAACATTTTTGAGTCTCAGTTTCTAAAAGTAAGGTATCTCAGATCTCTGTGCTTGTTTCTCTCAGTTGTTAGGATTAAATAAATTAATGTATCTAAAGTGCTTTAAAAATGGACCCATACAAAGTAAGTACTATGTAAATGATGACTCAGAGAAATGCCCCCCCCCCAACTGCTCAACTTCTGTTTGCTTTGCCCCTTGAAAACTCACTCCTTCTGTCTTTCCCTTCCTGACAGAGCAGACTTTTTCCTCATGGAAGTAAGGAGCTCTTCCCATTCCTCCTCTTTATTTCCCCCACTGCAGTCTTCTTTAGGCACTAAAGCATAAAGTACCACACTCACTTCACTTGCTCTAGAAATAATACCTTTATTAAGGCATTCTGAGAGGTGTGTCTGGGTGGTTCAGTCAGCTGAGTGTCCAGCTCTTGATTTCAGCTCAGGTCATGATCCCAGGGTTGTGGGATTGAGTCCTGAGTCTCCTCCATGCTGAGCATGGAGCCTGCTTCAGATATTCTCTCTCTCTCTCTGATTCTCTCTCTCTCTCTCTCTTCCCCCTCCCCATCCCTCTCCTCCACTTTTGCTCTTTTTCTAATAAAATTTAAAAAAAGACATTCTGAGAGCCCAGCACCTTTTTTGGTTAACTCCCCAAAACTGATAATTCAGGTTAAAAGGACATTCCATACCATAAGGAACTCATCAATAATAATAATAATTATTATTATTGGTATTAGAATGGTTGCTAATAGTATTGCCATTACCATCAAGATTTGCAAATGTCTTTGAAATATTCCTAAAGTAGACATAAATCAGTTCCTCCAAATGGGTTGAAAAGCTTAATAAGAAACTAAGAAGTTCTTAAGGCTTATTCCAGATACTTGGTGTTAATTCACAATCTCTGTATCCACCTCCCCAGGTCTAGACCAGCCTTCCGGAGAACCTGACTATCAGCTGCCCACAGAGCAGCCTGAAGGTAAGTTTTCAATCCCTTGAATATTCCTCCTTCCCCTGAGAATAGAAGCTTCTGTTTTTCAACTCTGCCTCTTCCGTTATGTGGCCACAGTCCCTTAAGACTTAGCTCTGTCCCTCACCTACATCCTTAGCTCTTTCTCTTGCCTGGATGTGATACATTTTCTCTCTGCCGAATTCAGTTTAATTCTGAAAGAATTAACTGATTCCATGTCCTGTGCAGAACCTGTATCAGTTGGCTTTTGATGCAAAATAAAGCACTTCAATGGCCACTTAGAGCAACAACCATTGTTCTTTTTGATTCTATGAGTGACTCAACACTTCTGGTCTGGGCTACAGGCAGCTGGAGGCTTGTCTGGGACTAGTTGATCTAAGATGGCCTCCTCCTCACACATCTGACAATCTGGCTCTTGGTTGGGACCATGAAGGTAATTGGGCCACATGTCTCTTCTTGCCTTGTTCACATGGAGGTGGTCACAGGAGTCCCAAGAGCAGCAGGACAGAGCAAGCACGTTCTAGCTTCTGATTCTGTCACATTTGCTATTGCCTCATGGGCAAGTGACATGGCTCAACTCAGAGTCCGTGTGGAAGGGGACTACTCAAGAGTGTAGTTACAGGGAGAGAATTATGACCATTTTACGAACAGTCCCCCTTCAAAGTCTGAGAAGAAGGTTGCAAGTGACAGAAATTCAGCTGTTGTGGGCAATAAAAAGAAATGCATGGCTTGTGAAATTGAAAACTCCAATAGGTGCTAACAACTCTTGCCAAGAATCTATTTCTCACCCTCTCTCAACTTTGCCTTCATCTTTGATGGCTTTCTTCTCAGGTTCTTTCATCAAGAGGGCAAAGAAGTACCCCCTCACACACTCACACCCCTCCAGCTCTGTTCTTCTTAGCAGCCAGCAGAGGAGTGTCCTAAATATCCTGGCAAAAATCCACCTTGGGTAAAATGCTGGATTGGTCTGAACTGATCACTGTGGAAAGAGGAATGTGTGCTCTTATTGGCCAGCTTGGGTCATGTGTCCTCCCTGGGTCCTCCATAGAAATCTGCAGAAACATACAGCCTGAGAGTGAGGGATGGTTATTTCCTCAAAGGAAGTTAGTGCTGTCAGCATAAAATGGGGAAATGGATGCTGAGCAGATGTCTACTTAGCAGGATTTAGTCTTGTCCTTAGGGATATAGCAGAGGATTCCAATATTATCCGGAATGGAAGCTTGTGCAAAGACAAAGTCATCTGAGAAGAAAATCAGTTGGGAATAAAGGACATATAAGGACAGACATTTGACTATTCCGAATAGTCACACTTACAGGTGTGGCTTTGCCTTAGTGATTCTGGAAAGAGCCAGTGGTTAGTTTGTGTGGCTGGAGGGTCCAACACCAGGGTCTGTGGTTGGCGGGCAAGGCTGGATATCTGGGAAGAGGACTTGAATGCCCAGCTAAGGAGCTAAGGCTCCCACCTGAGTCCACAAACGGAGTTCAGACAGAGGTAGGACCCACTGTTAGTGGCTTGACTTGAGAAAGGAGCCACCTGCCCTGGAGTGACAAGAAGGAATGGACTTGGAAATCCCTGCTCATCTGCTTCTCTGACCTGGGAAGAGGAGCTTTGCATAGTCAAACATGGGCTTTCTCAGAGAATGCGGTTCTGGGCCTAGAGCCAGTTATTTTGGGTTCATTGAGGGGTACCTTCTGCCCCCAGGACACTCAGGGCTGCCCCTGCTGCCTGTGCTGTTTGCTGTTGGGGGTCTTCTGGTGCTTTCTAACATCTTCTGTGTTGGGGGATTCCTCTGGCAGCGGAGACTGAGGCATCTTGCTGAAGGTGAGGAGAGACCCTCTTCTCCTGTGGGGATGGAGGCCCAAGGGTGACAGGAAGCCCTGGGCTACTCCATACTGAAAGTCTCTCAGGGCCTGGTTGGCCAGAGGAGGGGTGTCTCTAATCCTTTCTTCCTTACTTCCCTCAGGCATCTCAGAGAAGACAGAGGCAGGGTAAGTGGGAATATTTTTTCTGTAAGACAGATTCTGAGGGAGGAAGTTTGGGGATGAGGGGTGTCAGAGTCAAAACCCAAATGCCCTCCATACTTCTATCCTGGAAGGTCGGAGGAGGACCGGGTCAGGAATGAATATGAGGACAGCCAGTGGACTGGAGGCCAGGACACTCGAAGCTCCACGGTGAGTGGGGTGCTTCCAAAAGCCCCACTAATAGGGATCTGGCAGACTAAAAGTCTGTCATTAGCTTCGGGTTAATCATTGTCCTTTCTGGGAGCTATGGAGTCAGAGGATAGAAAACATTTATCTGGGTTTTTTTTTTTGGGGGGGGGGATGTTGACAGGTTAGCACAACAGATGTAGAGCCGTATTACCACTCCATGAAGGACTTCAGGCCCCAGCTGCCACCAACACTGGAGGAGGTGTCTTATCCCCAAGGTGAGCCATGACCATATCAGAACTTCCCCTGCTCTTATATACTCCTGACATCTAAACAGGTGTCCTGATCATCCCTTCCTTTCACTCCAACTCCAGGTCTCACACATATTGAAGAGGAAGATATGGCCTTTCCTGGACACCTGTATGATGAGGTGGAAAAACTGTATGCCCCATCTGGGGCCTGGGGACCCTTGTACGATGAAGTACCAATGGTGAGGAGATTTGTATCAGTAGAAGTCTTTCCTGGCTTGTGCCAGAAAGCCACCTCCTACTGTTTGGTGAGGGTAAGCTAGATACCATAGCAAAAAGGCCTGGCTACAATGCAGTGGCCTAAAGATTGCCTGTTTCTTTCTCACATAGCAATCAAAGGTGAGTGACCTTGTTGCACACGGTTAGTCCAGAACTCAAGTTCTTTCCTTTATGTTACTCAGCTATCTGTGAGTACATTCTTCAAATTTGCTTGGATAGACCAGTTCACTGGGGGTTTCAACTGGTGGGAGAGGGAAAAATAGAGTGTGGTGGAGGTACAACCCTGCCTTATGGCCCAGGCCCAGAAACGGTACACTCTATTCATTCCCCAGTGAGAACACGGTCACATGGCCACACCTAATGGTAAATGAGACTGAGAAATACAGTTCAGCTTGGAGCTATATGCCTCACTATAGTTCTATTACTGTGGAAGAAGGAAGATATGCATTCTATTGTGTAATTAGCCTTCTCTAATACACTGGTTAAGCAGCGAGATATAGAGAAATAATTTTTTTGGCCCATTCAATTGAAAACTCAAGGGATAGAACTGTCTGGAAACCCATAGTTTCCTCCCTAGAAATGTACCTAGAAAATGCAGGTTTGTATCCTATTAGATTGGAAACCTTCAGAGAAAGAGATGTCTTTTTTCCAACAGCCCTTCAGCCCCAGTGCTTACACTTTATTAGTCTAGCTTTGGTCACATACTTATTGCTGAAACACTGAGGCAGGGGAAGGACTATGCTAAGTATGGACTATGGACAAGTATGGATTGGTGTCCAGCCATGGCATCAGGGATTAGGGACCAGTCCCACTCAATCCACTAGAATGAGTGGGAGAGGAACAGAGAGACCAGAGGGAAGTGAAGATGGTGGCTGGGCAGGCAAGAACACTTTGACAATCAACTACCCTCACCTACTGCCCCACAGTAAGGGAGGCGGGGCAGAACCCTTGCCTTTCTGTGTGGCCTTGACTAATGCTCTGGCACCTCTGGGCCAAGGATTTCCCTCTGTAACTTTGTCCCAGATGGGGCACTATTCTCACCAGCGTGGAAATAAGAGGGGCATTAAATGCTGTCCGTGGTGCTGAACCATATGTGCCCTCTAAAGCACAGATGTAGTCTGCACACTTTCTGTAAAGGTCCAGATAGTAACTATTTTGGGCTTTGCAGCACATGCTGTCCTTTCCAAAAACCACTCAGTTCTGCCACAGCATTATAAAAGCAGCCATAGACAATACATAAATGAACAAGTGTGGCTAAGTTCCAATAAAGTTTAAGTTTTGGACACTGAAATTTGAATTTCATATCATTTTAATATGTCATAAATATTCTTCTTTTGACATTTTACCATCAATTAAAATATCTAAAACCATTATTAGCCCCTAGGCAGTACAAAAACAAGCAGCAGACCATATTTGGCCCATGGACAAATCTGCTCTAAATTTTGCCAAGCTAAAACAACCATTTTCTCCCAATCCTAGGGCAAAGCACATCTTCAGTAAGGATCCCTCTACATCATCTTCTACTTTGATGAAAATTTGTGAATTTATAGGACTAACAGATCACAACTCACAGTCCACAATTCCCGATATCATGCATTTTTATTTTATTTTTTAAAAGATTTTGTTTCTTTCTTCTTATTTTTGAGAGAGAGAGCACACATGTTTGTGTACATGTGAATGTCAGAAGGGCAGAGAGAGAGAGGGAGAGAGAGAGAATCCCAAGCAGACTCTGCACTTTCAGCATGGAGCCCAACGGGAGGCCTGATCTCATGAACCCGTGAGATCATAACCTGAGCTGAAACCAAGAGTCAGACGCTTAACCAATGAGCCACCCAGGCACCCCATAAAGATTTTATTTTTAAATTATCTCTGTATCCAAAGTGGGGCTTGAACTCACAACCCCCAAGATCAACAGTCACATGCTCTACTGGCTGAACCAGCCAGGCACCCCTCCTGCATTTTTAAAAGTTTCACATTTCTGACAATTACATTATTTTTCTGAAAGAAATAATGAGATATCTTGGACTTGCTTTAAAATAATCCAGTTAGTGGGGTTAGGAGACAAAAAGAGACATAGATAAATCAAGAGTAACTAAAGGTTGATATTGTTGAAGCTAGGTACATGGAGGCTCATTATAATCGCTCTTCTCTTAGTATATGTTGGATTTTCTCCCATAATTATGAACTAAAATATTTTTTTCTGGGAAGTTGAGTAGGAGTGTGTATCCCTCCTAGAGCTGCAATGATGACCCACAGGGCATCTCTCTATGGTTCTAACTCCACCTTTGCTTGTTAGGGCCCCTGTGATCCCTGCTGGCCTGAGGAGACATATGAAGATACCAGAAGAATCTATGATCAGGTGGCAGGAGACTTTGACCCGATGGAACCTGATTCTCTACCTTTTGAGCTGAGGGGACATCTGGTGTGAGAGCCTTCTCAACATCCTTTTTCTACACGTGCAGGGCATAATATACCAATGGTCCTTTTTATTACAATATGGGCTGAGCTTGTTAAGTGAGCTCCATAAGACACAAAGGCACTGGGCTATTTTGGTGAGAGGTGTGTGTAAGTGACCAGAGATGATTCAAGCTGGTGCCAAAAAGTTTTGTACAAATAAATATCCTCCTGGAGCCAGCTTTGGAAACTAAACTTCTCCAAAGGGGAACAGTAAATTATAAAAGACCTCAATAATGAAAAAGTTATTCCGAGGTCTTTATACTTTTTTAAAAGTAAAATTTTCAGAAGTTGGAAAAGACATATTAAAAATAGTTCATTTTGCAGTCAACTACACCTGAAATAGCTAATAATAAGTGGAGTTTATGAACCATTGTTATGTCCTACTTGTTTTATTTCCCACAAGTATCTAAATCATGATGTATAGACTATGACACACAGATAAACATAAATAGACTCTATAGAAAATAAAAAGACAATAAAACAAGCTAGACACAAAGAATATATATTGTATGATTTCACTTACAGAAATTCTAAAACAGGCAAAGCTTATCTAAGGTGACAGAACAGATCAGTGCTTTCCTGGGGCCATGAGAAGAGAATTGACTGCAAAAGGGCACAGGGGAACTTTTGGGGGATGATGGAAATGTTCTATATCATTATTGTGGTGGTGGTTACATGGGTATATAAATTTGTCAAAACTCGCTGAACTGTAAACTTATGATGGGTGCGTTTTATGGTATATAAATGGCACCTCAGTGAAGGTGATGTGTAAAACAGTCTCCACAATAAAGCAGCCCAGCAACAGAATTCTTATTGTTTGGGGCGCCTGGGTGGCTCAGTTGGTTAAGTGTCTGACTTTAGCTCAGGTCATGATCTCACAGTTAGTGAGTTTGAGCCCCTTATCGGGCTCTTTGCTGACAGCTCGGAGCCTGGAGCCTGCTTTGATTTCTGTGTCTCCTTCTCTCTCTGCCCCTCCCCTGCTCACACTCTGTCTCTCTTTTTCTCAAAAATAAATAAACATTTTTAAAAAAGAATTCTTATTGTTTATATTGAATAGCAGAAAACTGAGAAGGCTGCCTACTTTCATGGAGAACTGAGTATAATTAAATATAATCTTTATTTAGGCCACCACTCTCACTTGATTATCATATTATCAAAACCGTAGGTTCAAATGCTCACAAATATATTATCAGTGCAGACTTTATCATAAGCTTTTCCGCCACAGCACTTGAATACATAAATACCTTAGGGTCCAAATGATTCCCCTTTTAATTAAAAGATGATTCCATTCCTAAAAGTAGAATTTTTCTAATTGTGTATTTTTGTTTGTCAAAGAAGAAACTTACAACATTCTGTTTCCACACTGGCTAGGTAGGAAAAGTGAATTCATTGGCTGTTCCAGCTGACAATTCGAGGGCAGTGCTGGCTTCAAACACAGCTGGATCCAGTCCTGAAACAAAGCCCTGAAGGGCCCACCTCTCTGTGTCTCTGGCTCTGCTTTTCTTTGTGTTGATTTCATTCTCAGGTAGGTTCTTCATTTAAGAAAGAAAGATGACCACTTACAGGCTTGGCAGCCACAGGGCCTCAAAGCTGATAGTTCTAGAAAGTGCTGGGGTTGTTTTCCCTCAGTCCAGTTTGAGTTTTAATCCCATCCCTGAACAAGTTATTGTGGCCCAGTTAGAGAATATGCTGATAATCCTGGTCCTGAATTGCTGAGCACCACTTGAACCACTGGGGTAAGGCTCTCCAAAAGAATCCCATGCTGTGGTTGGGTCTCTTCATGCACTTGCTGTTTTCTCTTTGCCATTGTCCGAATCAGTGTAGCAGGTACCCATTGCTTCTGTCTGCCCAGAATCTAGTCCTTTTTAATTTATATAAATAACTATGAATAAGGCAAGTTCTTGATTACAGCAAACTCCTGGATCCAGCTGTGCCTGAAGTTAAAGCCACTTCTGGACTATAAATTCCCCTCCCCACTTAGGCCAATCTGAATGGTGACTTTAGTTAGTTACAACCATAAATGATTCTCTTTTTTTTCCCCTTCAATAAATGACCCTCTTGGGGCACCTGGGTGGCTCAGTCGGTTAGGCGTCCGACTTCATGTCAGGTCATGATCCTGTGCTTCATGGGTTCAAGCCCTGAGTCAGGCTCTGTGCTGACAGCTCACCTGGAGCCTGCTTCGGATTCTGTGTCTCCCTCTCTCTCTGTCCCTCCCCTGCTTGCACTCTGTCTCTCTGTCTCCCACAAGTAAATAAACATTAAACAAAAAAATTTTTTTAAATAATAAATAAATGACCCTCTTTCTTAAGCCAGTTTGAATGGACTTAATGATTGCAAAATGGATAGTTTTCAAGGAGCAGAAATTCACTCAAGCTCAAGGAGAGCTAAAAAAGCATTTATTTTACTAGTTACTAAGGGAAGAATAGTAATTTTATAGTTGATAGATTCCGTCTTAACCAAATGATCAAAGTTAACATTACCAGTCATGAGATGAAATGGCGTCATGGGCCCTCTGGTATGAAATACTGAAGATCTGACAGTATGGCAATGATATTCCTGACTAATATACATAATCTGAATCTAATAATGAGAAGGACAGATAGGAATTAAAGGATAATCTAGAAATTAACTGGCCTGTAATCTTCATGATGTCAAGGTCATGCAACACAAAGGGAAACTGGAAAAAAAAAGAACATTAAGGAATGGTTTCAGATTAAAGGAGACTAAAGAGACATCAGAATGGGGGCAACACATAATTTTCATAAAGGGTATTATGTGGCCAAATGGCAAAAAATGAACAAGGATTGTAGATTAGACAATAATATTGTATCAATGTTAATTCTATTATACCATTGTTGTGTAAGACAATGCCTTATTCTTAGGAAGTGTACACTTATGCAGTTAGGGTAAAAGAGAATTGTGTCTTCAGTTTACTCTCAAACAGCTGAGGGGAGAAAAGTGTCTATACAAAGAGATAGAAAAGGATAAAACAAGTACGGTAAAATATTGACTGTTGGGGAATGTGAGTGAAGTGTATTGGTATTCTTGGTACTATTCTTAGAACTTTTCTGTATATCTGAAATTATGCTAAAATTTTAAAAATATATTGTAAAGATGCAAGACGATGTTACAGAAGCAAAAGAAAAGAAAAAGAAAACATGAAGTGCATCTGGGTCTCATGGGTTGTATAAATCTACCTGGTTCTTTTCATCTTTCATTGGTCCATTCATCCTTTGTCTGCATCACTCAGCAGATTCCCTCCATTCTCTCCTTGTAGATATTTAGCTTCCCTCCTTGTCTATAATGATTGCATGTTGAGGGATTGGCTGCCCCAGCTCTAAAGCACCATGAAGCCCAACACCACACAGATGCTTGACTCTGAAATGTAGTACCCTTATTCCAAATTTCAGAGAAGCCAAATCTGATTGGCCCAGTTGGGTTAAGAAAAAAGAAGTCATAGGAGGAATAAATAATACTTAGAACTGGATGAAAAATGAAGATATCCCCTGTCAAAACCTGTTGAATACATCAAAAGAAGTGCTTTGAGGGAAATGTATACCCTTTAATACTTACACTAGAAAAGAAGAAAGCTCCAGAGTCATGAACTAAGTGACTATCCTAAGAAACTAGAAAGTGACATTCTCCAAAGAAGACATACAGATGGCCAACAGATGCATGGAAAGATGTTCAACATCACTCATTATCAGGGAAATGTAAATCAAAACTACAATGAGGTATCACCTCACACCTGTCAGAATGGCTAAAATAAAAAACACAAGAAGTGGTGTTGGCAAGGATGTGGAAAAAATGAATCTTCTTGTACTGCTGGTGGGAATGCATACTGGTGTAGCCACTGTGGAAAACAGTATAGAGGTTCCTTAAGAAATTTTAAATAGAAATATCTTACAATCCAGTAATTTCACTAATGAGTATTTACCCCTCAAATGCAAAAATACTACTTCAAAGGGATATATGCACCCTATGTTTATTCCAGCATTATTTACAATAGCCAAATTATGGAAGCAGCCCAAATGTCCATCAATAGATGAATGGATAAAGAAGATGTGGTATAAATACACAATGGAATATTATTCAGCCATAGAAGAGAATAGAAATCTTGCTATTTGCAACAACACAGATGGAGCTAGAGAGTATATTGCTAAGTGAAATAAGTCACAGAAAGACAAATATCATGATTTCACTTATATGTGGAATTTAGGAAACAAAACAAATGAACAGAAGAAAAAAAGAGAGCGAGACAAACTGAGATTCTTAACTATAGAGAACAAACCAATGGTTACCAAAGGGGAGGTTGGGGGGGGGGCGGGTGTGGGTGAAATACTTGAAGGGGATTAAAGAGTACACTTATCGTGATGAGCACTGACTAGTGCATAGAATTGTTAAATCGCTATATTATATGCCTGAAACTAATATAACATTGTGTATATTTTTTTGTTTTTTTAAGTTTATTTATTTTGAGAGAGAGAGAGCATGCACAAGTGAGGGAAGGGAAGAGAGAGGGAGAGAGAGAGAATCCTAAGCAGGCTCCTCACCGTCAGTGTGGACCCCAACAAGGGGCTCAAACCCACAAACCCTGAGATCATGACCTGAGCTGAAATCAAGAGTCAGATGTTTACTGACTAAGCTACTCAGGTACCCCAACATTGTATGTTAACTATACTGGAATTAAAATGTAAAAAATTAATAAAATTAAAAAATAATAATGATGAAATGTTGGAAGATTTTTAAAAAGAAAAAGAGCTAGAAAAGTAACCATAGGAAGGGGCACCTGGTGACTCAGTCAGTTAAGCGTCAGACTTCAGCTCAGGTCATGACCTCATGGTTCGTTTGAGCCCTGCATTGAGCTCTGTGCTGACAGCTCAGAGTCTGGAGCCTGCTTCAGATTCTGTGTTTCCCTCTCTCTCTGTCCCACCCTCGTTCATGCTCTGTCTGTCTATCTCTCAAAAATAA